TAGTGATATTGACAGATATTATTCTGAAACCAAAAACTCAGAAGATTCACCAGCAATCCCAGAACAACTTATATTAACCTCAGAACCAGAAGAAACTAGTAGTTCTTCAGAAGAAGATAACCAACCAGAATCAGAAGAAAATAATAGTATATATTCCGTAACAACTAAAAATAATTCAGATTCAGAAGAAGAACCTGATCAGAACATCATGGCACAAAATTAACCCCAAGATTTAGATGGACTTATTGTTGCTCTTGGAGTATTAACTAATAGTATGGCTGCACAGAATAACAAGAGTTATCTTTTAAAATTTGAAAATAAATATAAATACTTTTTGAAATTAATTTATTATTAGCTAAGAAACTAGAAAAAAATATATAATTAGCTTAATTTTCAGCTAATTAACATATATTATGTAATATTTATTTTTATATAAAGTTAATTTTATTATAGTTTTATTATAAAGATTATTTTTTAAAAAAAAATTACTAATAAATTAAATTAATTCTATAAAAAAGTATTTATAATATTTGATTATATATTATATTATCTTTTTTATCTTATATTTAAAAAAAATTTTTTTGAAAAGTTTTAATTTTGATAAAAATAGATCAAATATGAATTTATATTATTTTTACAAATTTAAATATTAAATCTGATATTTTAAGATAATATAATCAAATTTTTTTATATTTTCTAGTTATCTTTTTTTATAATCATTCTTTTTGAGTTTTCCAATTACTAATTAACTATAATTAAAAAAAATCTCTTTATAATCACATCTCTCTTTAGTCATCTAATTTTGCTTTTCCAAGTGTGGTAATTATAGAGATTTGACTGTATTTGATTTTCTTAGTCACGTGAGTGCGACATTTTTCTGTTGCGTGTTTTTTACACCACAAAAAATTTTGTGATAATAGCGATAGTAATAATGAATTTCTTATTAATGCCCCAGATCTAGTTTTTATGAGATAATATACAATAAATTTTAATCACACACAGCTTATAAACAACCATAATTTATATATGCCCTATCTTCAGAGGCGCATTCCAAGACATCATTTATTACTATAACAAATTATTTTCTTAAATATTTTATCAAAACACATAATAGATATAATACGTTACAGTGATGAATACCTCAAAAAGATTAATGTTCTGGTGGATGGATAAAAAATATATAAATAATTATATTAAGAGGTACAGAATAGTAATATATTACCAGTCCTAGCAGTAAAAGCAGCCAGTCAATCGCTTAAAAACACTGTGAATGTAAAATAAAAAGAGTATCCTCCTCTTTCCTTATCCACCGTAACAACCCATTAGCTGAAGCAATCATTGCAGACTTTGATACCATAGGTTCAAAAGCTGCGTATAGTTCAAAGCTTGCGGTAATCTTTAAAAAAGAAAATATATCGTTTGAAATAGTCACATAAATAAGTGGTGCATAATTAAATTAGTAGCAAATTGTTATAGATAAGGTTATATAATTTAGTAATCAATACATACCCATCCGAGAATTGTTTCACTTGAGCTCACGTAATAATAGACCTTAAGTGGTCGTATCCGCAAGTGCATACGATCGTGAGTGTATCGATATAGCTTGAATAATCTTGATTAAATTATCGAGGAATATTTATTTTGTCATTTAATAAATAAATTTCACACTCAAAATTTTGCATATTGTGAGTTTTGTAAGATAGGGAAAAATGAACTTACTTTCGTTTTTCACGTGGAGTATTGTAGGGTTTGGCAAATTCAGGTGAGGTGTATTGTACATGTTGTTTGGCCTTATAAATAAAATGGCGAAGACCCTGTATACCGACGTCCGCTAAACAAAAGTAAACAATTCTCTATGCATCATAATCAAAATTTAGATGAAACAAATTCAACTATAGACAAATTACCAATGGAATATCTGTCATTCAGAGTGGCATTTTCCAAATCCTTAAGTGCATTTGTGGATGAGAGTTGCTTATGGAAAAGAAAAATAATCTAGTCAGACAAAATCATATTATATAACTCGAAATAATTGTTATTATTTTACCTCTGTGATTTTCAATTTTGCTTCCGACAACACAGAGAATTTTTCGTGATCCGGCGAAATCAACAGTAGGCACACATTAGTGGTAATATAACAAACATATGCATGCAGAAAACCTTTGCTATTGAATTTTGGAAGGCATATAGGTGTCCATGTTTGGGCTGATTTAAATGTTGAAGACCCATTTATCATGTTAAAAACTAGATGAAGATCTACATATATATTTAATTTAGTTAAATGGGTGTAAATATATGAAAATCGTTGTTGATATTAAATAAATTTTAAAAACCACCTGCTGGATGAAGACTATATCTTCTAGGTCGTAGCAGAGTAATCAATTTATTATTTGTTATCAACATGGCATATAAAAGATCCTATTGTTAAATTGTGTTAATAGCAGATATTAAACTTATAAATTAATAATTAATTAAACCTCCAGAGAAATAATATACCTTTGACTTTACAAGTTGCATTGCCGCGCCGACTTTATCCCGTAATTCTTTGCTCATTCGCACACACTGAATTGAACCAAGTATAAAGCCAGGATCATCACTCATACATGTCGCGAGATGGTCCAAAAATATCTCAGTTCCTATAAAGAGGATTCACTATAACATTAAACAGAGAATAGTGAAATATAAAACTTGAGGCGATAGGATATCTGGTATTTTTATTACCTCCCAAAAGTCTCCGTAAATCGAAATTAATTCTTTGTTCAAAAATTTTTGTCAATTGTGTAGAAGTCAGAACACTCAGAATCTGATTATATAAATAATTCAGCTGATCTCTCAACTGATACAAAATAGGGTGTATGTGAGATACCATACCATAATAATTGAAAAAATATTGATTAGTAGTTACCAAAGACGTTAATTAACCTGAGATTCAGATTCATTTGTCCGTGAAACCGCGACCAGATATAAATGTTCTTTAAGTAAAAAAACAAATTTATGTTGTCCGGCATTAATGCACCTAAAAATATTATTGTTAATATAGAATAAACATTGTAAGATAGTAACGAGCGCGTGATACATTATGAGTACCTTAGAGAATCATTAGCATTCGCAAAAAAAGAAACGATTGTTTGAATTACGCCCATGTAACTTGATATCTTTGATTCATCTCCATATCTTTTTTTGATAACATAATTATCCAACAATTTATAGAATTAAGCCATATTATCACAATATCAATATCAATAACAATATAAGTGAATACCGTGTATATATGGGTTTTCCCGCGCTACTCAGAATAAAAAAATGTTTTCTATGTCTAGCCCAAGTTGCTGATTGAGGATCTGCGAAATAACAATACAATAATTTTAGAAATTTTATTGAGATATTATTATTAATGATATAATCTAAGAATAAAAATAAACACCTCGAACCTTCATGTGCATACTTGCGCCGATAACCTCCATTTGACAAATTTTTATTTTTAACATCATTCCATTCAGATGAAGATTTCGAATCTATCAAAATTAAGAATGAACATATATATTGAAGAATCACTCATTAAAAATAAATGAGTTGAAATATCTTTATACCAAGACATTCTTTACATGCTTCGAGTGTTTCTCCCTCGGAGAGTTCTCCATTATCTGATTGAACAGTAAATAATGGGCTTTTCTGGCTATTAAGCACATTGGCAGACATATTTAATACATGAAGACCGTAAAACGTGGTCTTAAGTACCCCCTGGACAACATGTAGCACCCTCCATGATTTTTGAAAAATTTGTCGATCATCAATTTGCGGATTTTTTTTTTCGGGATCTGTAGAATTTTAGAAAATTCACATTTATAAGGTCTGGATAAGGTAACGGTTAGGGCGGAGAACAAAATTATATGTAAACTTGCAGTCCCGACAATTTAATATTCCAAGACAGGTTTAGGCATTGGTTTTCGAGTAAATATTCATTTTTTCAGATCTTGTGTCGGATTTGTTTTGCCGGGTTAATTAAATAAAATTTGCGCACTCCTATTGGACATGGATCACATGATAAACAACGCTTTAACCGATCCCCTAATTTGGAGGTCCACTAAAGCCGGTGTGGTTTCACGTGACATAGAATTCGATCCGGATCGTATCATGTGATTCATTCGTATTACATGAAAAGTAATTATTGACTAAATATATTATTTTTTTATTAATATTAATAATATTTTTAAATAATAAATTTCTAACTTTTTAAAGATTATTTATTAACTTATAATAGGATTTACTTGATAAATCACAAAAATATGATCATTTTAAATTATTTAAAAGAAATATTAAAAAGTTAATAATGGATAAAAGTTAAGATTTTATTAAAAAATTTTTAGTTTTTTGATAATTTACTTTTTCACTTATTATAAATATTAGTTATTAAGTATCTAAAGATATTTTAATAAATCTTACTTTAATAAAATTAATTCTTTTTCTTAATATAATTTTATCAAAACTTTTTATTTTTTCACTTAATATTTATTTATTACTTATATTATGGAAAATATGATTAGAGATATTTAAATTTACAAATTAATCTGAATTCAAAATTAATTTGATTCAAAAATAAAGTTAGAATATATTTGGAATTTATATATTTTATTTTTAAAATATTCTATTATATTAAAAATATTAGTATATAATTTCGTGAATTTAATATAATTATGTATTATAATTTTTTAATATTATTATAAAAATATAAAAGAAATTAATAATTTGAATTTTTTATTAATTTCTTCAAGTATAATATCATGATCTTGATATTAATTTGAAAGTTTAGATTATAAAATTATAATTCTCTCTTAAATTAATTTGTAAATTTTAGACTTTAATCATAATTTTTATTCTTTATTAGTAAATTTAATTAATTAATAAATAGAATATTATCTAGCAAATCAAATTAATATAAATATTTATCTAGTTATAAGTTTTAATAAAGATCTATTAAAATAAACTCTAATATAAAAGTTAATAATTACTTATAAATAAAAAAAACTTATTTATATTTTAATTTAAATATAAGATTAATTTAATTTTGAGTTTATTCTAAATAATCTTTAATAAAATAATTTTTTTTAGAAATAAAATATAATTATATTAATTCAAAAGCTATTATATATTTATATATATTACACATTAAATTCTATTATTATCATAGTAACATAAATTTCTTTAATTTCATAATTTTTTGAACTTAAAAAATTTAACTAATCAATTGATCTTTAGAAGATATATGATTTTGAATAATATAATTAGTGTATCAGTTATAGATTCAGTCATGATTCAATAATATTTTTATAATATTCTTGCAATATTTTTGTAATATTTTAAGATTATTAATAAATAATTAGTCCCAAAATTAATAACAGTTCACAAATAATTTAATAATAATTCAAAAATATTTCAGAAATAATTCAGCAATGAATTTTATTTATTTTTATCATTTATCTTTTCTTTTTAGAATATATATCTTATCTTTTCATTTTATTTCATTAT